ATGACCTTGGGCTCTTTTCAGGTGATGACTTGGTGAGGAATCTGCCAACCCCAGAAGATCTGAAGGAATTTGAAAGATCAAGGGAATACTGTACACCTTTTCCCCCTGCTCCACTTTAGCAAATCATGTCTCTGATAATCAGGGAGTCAGACTCCATTAAGAGAATCCTGCCAACAGGAAAGAGATAAAAGGAAGGGGGTGGTCCATTCTGGCATAGGTTTCTGAGAGGTTATTTCTGGATGTCAGGGCTTCAGGACCACCAGCTTACAGAAGCCAGACCTCTTCTCATCTCCTAGGAAAGCAGGTTCCTTTAGCTGCTTGCATTTCAGTCTGTACTCACATTATCAGCCCGGCAATGACAGCCAAAGCTGACCAGTGAGGCCCTTTCTGGAATATTCCTGCCCCAATTCTAACTAGCAACTGGGATAGATGAGCAATAGTGTGTGGGGTGGGAGCTGGCACAGTATGGAAAGAAATATTCTGAGGCAGCAAAAGGGAAACATGTGGCGATATTTGGTTACTAGGTACCAGGCAATGCCAGCTCTTCATCTATGTTAGTAAATTTAATCTGATTGGCAACCTGTGAAGCAGGCATTACTATTCTTATTTCAGAAGGGGAAACTGAGGCTTCCAGAGGGGAGGGGGACTTGCATAAGACCAGAAAGTGAGCATCAATGCACTGGTGGAGCCACATCTGGCTGGATTCAGAAGAGACAATGTTAGGGAGGCCCCAAATTGTATCAGCCCTTAGCTATTCTCTTTCGGTGCCTTGCTTAGAGCACCCCCTGCCATTCACTGGGGGCACTGCATCTGCCCCAGCTACAGAAGTGGGAGCAGGAGGGACAGTTCTGCTCCACGCAAGTCACAGACAAGAAACTCTCTAGCAGTGTGGTTCTTCAGACTCTAGGCTATTCAGGTCCCACCTGGAGCTCCCAATTACATTTTGGGCCTTACCCTTTACAGGAAGAGAGGGTCTGGGACTAGGTGCCCTTTAGAAATCATGTCCTGGGAGAAACTGCTAAAAAGATAGGGAAGGTGTTTAACCCTCTTAGGGACAGCCTTGGGGAGACTGCAAAGCAGGCCCATGGGTACCAGAGGACAGCAGGAGTCCTACTGGCTGCTGATTCAGAGAGCAGATTTAAATCAACACAAACAAAAAAACTTCCTAATTGATGACTGAAAACCAAATGGGCTGCCGTCAAGGTCTTGGAGAACCCCTTTAAAAGAAGCTGATGGGCGGCAGGCAGGATGCTAATGAAGGGTGTCTGTTGAGGGCTTCGCTCCCTACTAGACACCTGTACTTGGGCTCTGGGGCATCAGAGATGCTATTGGCTCCTGTCCTACTTCCCTCAAGAGAAAGTGCTAGTAATTCTGATTTTATTTTTATGTGAAAGAAAATTCCTGGAGAGCTGTAATTTATGTTTTATCATGCCTGGGATCACTCATGTCTCTCCTTATAGCTGCTGCACATTTGCAACAGCTACAGATATTTTCTTGTGAAAGAAGAAAGGTATTTACCCACCCCATACACCATGCGAACATGCCAGCAGAGGACACGCAGACACTCAGATGTTTCCTCGACTGATCAGTGTCTTTCAACCCTGACAGTCTGTGAAATACCAGAGAGAGAAGATGTGGCCCTAGCTGCTTGAATTCTGTCCCCAGCACCCACACAGGACCTCAGGAAGCCCCAAGAACCTTCAACCTGAAGCTGTCCTGGGGACAGAAGCAATGCCCTCCTCACTTACAAGACTTGCCTGCCTGATATCACAACAAACTCAAGAAGGCTCCTGGAAGCAAGATGTCTACTTTCACCTGCCTGGAGAGCTGGACAGACCCATGTCCCAGAGGACTTTAGAGCACTGAAGGCAGGAGATGGATGGAATGCCACATCCTAACTGCCACTGCTAGGCCTCAGGATAGAAGGTATTGAGAGACCAAAACCCCTAATTCTAAGCTCAGCAATCAGAATCTGCTCCCAGGGTCACTGGCTCTGACAGATCATGTCTCCTCCCCTTTGAAGTGAAAGGAATTCAGCTGTCTGTCTTCCCAGGATGGGCTGCAGTCCTGTCCCTTCTGAGAAACAGTGGATGAGGGAGAGGCTGGCCCTTTATGGATCCCTGAGATAGAGGCACTTGCTGGTCACAGCATGAGGACAGCACAGGTCACCCACTGCTCCCCTCTACATGGCAGAGTCTGGTCCATTCCCCTCACACTATAGTCAAAGTTTTCTTAAGACCCTGGAGAATGGATTGGGGTGGATGGGAAGCCCCCAGAGGAAGGGACATGGGAAGGTAAAAGTAGTAACCTCAGGAGACGCTGCGAGGCTTTTCTGAGTGAACACTTCCAAGCCTGCGGCTGTTCCAGGTACCAAGTCCTGCTGAGAGATGTCCTGGGTCCTCTGGGACTGCAGGGGATGCCCAGGGCCAGAAGAAAGGGACAGAGGGAGGGAGGAAGGAAAGGAGAAACAGAGAAAGGAAGAGAGGGAGAGAGAGAAAGCAGGAGGAGACATACAGTCTGTAAATAGTCCAGTTTATAAGTCCCACATTCTTACAGTTTGTGGATTCAGTCAGGAAGGAGCTACTTTGTGGGGGGAGATAAAGAAGGACAACCCTCCTGGGTCATTTAATGGAGGAAAGCATAGGCTTTCATTGACTTAGACTGTGGGTTCATGCCTAAAATTGGGGTCACAGTGCCTTTTCAAAAGTTATCTTTGACACTAAAGCCTGAGTTTGGCATATGGGAGCAGTTCAAGTTCCAGCTTCTTTCCCCTTGGCCTAGATCAGGCCCCAAAAGCTATAAGCCAGCTCCTAGGAATTCTGGATGATAGGCCTCTGTAGGGTCCCCCACAGAGCCCATATTTGGGTCAGGGATTCCAGTCACCATCAGCAAAGGTGCCATGATGTTCAGCACTTCCAAGGGGATAAAATGCTTTCGTCTTCATTATTTCAGTCAGCATAGTCAACAACCTCCCTATGGAGTGGTAGTTTTGGTCTCCCTTTGAATGCACTAGGCAAGGAGGCTCAGAGAGGTGGCATCACTCACCAAAGGACCCATCAAGTTCTTGTTTATGGCCCCCCCATCTCCCAAATCTTCAAAAGCCCTACACACCAAGGAGACCTATAAGCAAGTTCTAAATGGTCCATGGCTCCGAGGTGGGTTCCTGGACTGTAATTCTTTCCAGCAATGACTACAGTTGTTAGGGCCAAGGGGGTAGTGCAGGAACAGATTCCACTTTTTAATAAGACCCATCTTCTAGCAGTTCCAGATGGCACCAGCAGGTGGGGCACACCCCCAAACCAGGCTGCTCTGGAGACCCCAGACAGCCCCTCCACCGTTCACCGGTACTCATCCTTCCCTTCTCTGCTGGACTCTGACCCTTTCTGTAGCCTCTGCATCCCACCTCACTCCCAGCCAGACCAAGTCACTCTCTAGGGCAGAAGGTAAGGGTGGGGGAAGTGTAATTTATAGGAGCACTAAATCAAGACTCTGAAACCCAGTCTAGGGATCTTGGTTATTCTGGGTACCATAGACGCTCTTGTCAATGCAAAGGTTTGCCTTCTTCCAGGGCACCAGCCTTCAAGCATCCCTAATTTTGTGAACTGGCAGCCTGGGAATTCCAGGAGCTCTATCTGAGCTTATGTCTCACTAGGCAAAGCTCTCTGTTATCTTGTGGACTCAGACCATGGCTAGTGCTGATTCAATCAAATGCCCTATGAATTAGATCATGGCTGCATCACCAATTTTCAAAGCATTAGAGGGAAGCACAGACACAATTGACTCTATACCTGGTCTTTACATGATTTGGTCTTGCTCCAAGGCAGCTGTGGTGTAATGGAAATACAATGACCCGAGACACAAGAAGAATGGCTTCAGGCCCCACTTCTAGCAGCTAGGAAGCTGAACCATCCTTTTTCTTTCCAGGCCACAGTGCCCCTATCTATAAAAGGAGAACCTTGAACCAAGAGATTTCCAGTGGTCCTTCTAGCTTTGATATGAAGTTAACCTTCTATATGAAAGAGTCCCAAGACTCTTAATATGAAACAATAAGTAACTCATCATGGTACCATGCTGGTCCCTCTCCGTGTATTATCTCATTTAATCCTCACACCATCCCTATGAACATCTCTACCTAATAGGGCCTCAGAGAGATTAAGTAACAAGCCCACAGTCATCTGGCAGACAGTAGAGCTAGAATTCAAACCCAGGCAGCCTAAGTCTAGACCACAATCAGATTTGCAACCAGTGAGTAGCAGCACTAGAGAGAAAAATACTTAGGTATGAAGTGGGGTAAATATTGCTAAGATTTAGCAAGTGCTAATAATAATATCTTGGGATTAGAAATACAGGAATGCCTTGAATCCTGTCTTCATCTCTTTTTCAATTGAGGAAGCCCCCCACTCCCCCTAAGCTTTTCTCTCTGAAAGACAGGGTGCATGGGGTCCTTTGCTGAAGCCTTGGGAGCAGGTCTGGTTTGTGGGGTGGACTCTGTACTCTCTGGTGGACTCCAAGGCTCCTTCTGGAAGGGACCATGCCTCCACTGTGTTTTCACAATAGGCTCAAAAGGGCCCAGTTACTGGGCAGGGCTACTGAGATTCTTAAAAGTTGAGTATGCAAGAGAATCACTTAGGATACTTGTTTAAAATGCTACTTCCAGGGCTCTACCACCAAATATCTAATTCAGTAGGTCTGAGGTGGGGCCTTGGAACCTGCATTTCCAACAAGCACTGCTCACAATGATCTGGCTGATGGAACGGGAGTACACAAAGCTACCATGAGTGTTTGAAGTTTTTCATGCTCCATCGTGGTCCTAGAACCCAGGATTCCAAGAGTCAGTGAATCACCTTCCCTCATGCTAACCTGCCACTCATTCCCAGTTGCCCTGCAGGCAATGATAGGGAAGGGTATTGGTGTGAAGGACAAGTGTGAATCAGCACATAGTACCCCTGCAATGCCTCTTTACCCAAGGGTCCTAGTGAGGGCTTCGAGGTGACACCTACCTCATGGGTTTTCTCAGGGGTGCCCTTGGGGGAGGGGGAGGCGGGTGAGGAGGGCAGCCTGCGCTCCCGCTCCCAGTCTCGATCCCTGTGAATCAGTTTGCTGTTGGGCTCCTTCAGGGTCCTTTTGAGCTCATTGATGCTGGCCTGGTGCTTCAGCAGGACATCCTCTGGCTTGTCCAAGAACTAGGAATGGGTAGAGAAGCGGTGTTAGGGGAACAGCTCTGAGCAGGTGATGCAGGGTGCAGGGGTCATGGCAGCCATTGTCATCATGGTCCTCCACCAGCAAGGTGATTTCTCCTCCCCCAACATTGTCTTTCCCCTCACAACAGCCCCAGGAGCCAAGTGGGGCAAGAACCATCAGGCCCAACAGAGCACATGTGATGACAAAGAGGAGAGTCTAGTGAAGCCATCTTCTCTTCTCCCCTGTCTGGCTCCCTGACCTCTGAACACCCAACCCAACCCAAGCCCCTCAAATCTGGGTGTGTTCCCTTTGGTTTTGTGAGCCCAGATGGAGTTGGGCATGAATGTGATTTCTCTCTGGTTACAACCAAGGCACAATAGGTAGCCTCCACCCCAGTGAGAACTCCCTCATCTGTTCACCGGGCCATGCTGGCTCACTTGTTGGCCTCCAAGATCTCTCCTGGATCCTGGTTCCTATCTCTGTATGAGACTTGGACCACTGTACTCAATAGGATGTCTAGTTTATGCCCCTCTGAGCCTGACATGTGCAACTGTTCAGACCCTGTGGAGATCTTGAGTATAGATAGGCCTAAAGCCAGGGTCATGGAGAAAAAAGGCCCTGCTTCCTCACATTGGATCAGAGAGATGGTGCTGCCTTTTCTGCTGTGAGCCACTACCTTCCCCAGCACCTAAGACCTTCCAGATGCCTTCCAGGTACTGACCTGCTAAGAACAGGTAAGGTAAAACACAGCCAGGAAGACAGTAGGATACTGCAGGGTGTTTGGAGAGTTTAGAGGTCAGGAAGAAAAGTGCTTGGGCACAAGAACAAGCCAGGTATGTCTGGAGTCCCAGGTGTGTTCCCTATTGAACTGCCAAAACTGAGCTCATGTCAGTGCAGCATGAGGGAGTAATCTGCCTAGGTCCTGCAAGGATGAGTCACAGTGACCCGCCAGAACAATTTATCTGCCTGTTTCTAGGGAAGAGTGGGTGGGCTGCCACCAAAGGACCTTATCTGCAAGACCATTTGAAGACTCTGGTGACTACTAAAGGGCAAGAAATGGAGAATCTCATCTTATTAGAGTGAGATCAGATGTTCCTGGGAGAACCACCTGGAAGGTAAGCTTGCCCTGGACAAGGCTACAGTCTTCACCTGGGCTTGTCTCTGGCACCAAAGAATCTGCTGTGGTTGACTTCTAAACTCCCTTAGGAAGGATACAGTTGGATGGAGGCATTTGCTTTCCCTCCAGAAACCTGTCTATACCTGCAGCTCACTGCCTAGGCTGAACTGCCTGAAAGACAGTGTCAGCGTGGGAAGTCAAACCTGATGGGGTTTCCACAAAGTTGGGTTTGGGCTGCAATGGTTAATAGGCCCCAAAGCAAGATCATCCCCAACTGGCCAGCTTTGCTCCCAAAGGCAATAGAGAGTGGTGGGGTCCTGGGATCCTTGGAGGTTAAGGGTCATCGTCCTAACACCTAGTCTGAAGGCTTTGCAGAGCAGATAGAGAACAGGTCCTGAGAGAGGACCTTCCTAAGACCCTCAGAACTGTATTAAAACCCAGATCTCTACCAATGGCCCTGCCTCAGGCCCTTCCCTTGGCAGCTCAGGGATAAACCTCTGCAGCTAAGGTTCCAATACAGAGCTGGAGACTGTGAAAGGGAAGAAATTGAGGAAAGACAAATGGAAAGAGAACAGGAAGAGAGAAGGAGAAGAGGTTTCTGGTGGAGCTGATGCACAGCAGTCCACCTGGGAGGGAAGTGAACTGGAGTCTGAGCAGTCACCAATGTGTTCTGAGGGCCTCCCCTCCCACTGCAGCCCCCATTCCCACATCTGGTTGCCCCGAGATACAAAGAGAGGGTTCTGGTGAGAACACAGATGAGATGGAGGTATGACTGAACAGTGTTGGGGAGCTGGGGTGGGTGGGAGGAGTCTAAGGAAGGGTTGGGACAGAAATAGGGGGAGAGGAGCTAAATGGAAGCACAGAATGGCCTTGCAGGTGAGAAGCAAGCATAAGCATGGGGTACCAGGTGGTCTGGAGAGGCAAAGGTCGAGGAGGGAGGGAGAGGTGGCTGGCTAGGGGCAGAGTCTGAGCTGGGAGCTGGAGAGATGAGCTAAATGTGGGAGAGAATGAGGTGACTGGGGAGGGTGATAAGGAGGAGGGAGATACCATGACAGGCAGAGATGAGGCTGAAGCTGAGATGACATGAGCTTGGGGACACACTGTGAGATGGTTACAAATGAGGTGGGGATCTGAATGGTGGGTAAAGACAGACAGTCCCATGCAGTACCTCCTGCTTGTGTCTTGGCGTGGTTTCCTGCTCCGGCTAGTGGGTTGTGGCAGGAGGGAGAGGAACCAGGAGGGTCAGTACAACAAACAGATTAGAGACACCATGACTGGTCAGTCCAGCAACATGGCCCAGTACAAGCACACCCACACAAGCAGTGAAGGCTGGGAAGTTACTGGACAACCCCACCCATAGGGCAGTGAGGTGACCAGAGGTGTGTGTGGAGGAAACAGGGAGCAGCCCCAGGAAGGCAAAGAAGGAGCCAAGGGACTAGAGGCAAAGTGTGCAGAGCCACACTTGGTGGACAGAACAGGAGTGTGTGTGGGGCGGGGGTTCTTGCTACCATAGGTGTGTTTTCAGGGGCCTGGGCTCCCATAACAGAATTGCACAATGGAAAAAAGCTGTTTATCAACTCCACTGAGAGGAAGACATGCCTGGCTTGTGTGTGAATATGCTGTTAGCATGTCTGCATGTGTGAACCAAAGGGTGGGAATGTATATGTCTGAGAGTGGATGCATGCAAGACTGTGGCTATGCATTCCTACAGGAGTACGTACTCATATATACTGGGGGGTGCAGGTGTGGGTGTGGCAGGAGGAAGGGGCACACCTGTTCTTCACATTGGGAGGCCTTGGTGACACCTGACTGTGCTTGGGGAGGTGGGGGCGATGCAGAGCCAGATCATAGGTAAGGGCAGATGAAGAGTGAGTAAGAGAAGGCCTAAGTCCTCCAGGGGAGGAGCAACCCCCTCTGTTGGGGAAGCCAAGCAAAGGGAGGGAAGAGTAAAAGGTGGCAGTGTGCCCACGCCCATCCCTCCCCACCCTCACCCCCACTGACACACACCCAGGATGTCCAGGTATAGAGTACAGCCCAAGGGCAAGGCCCTGTCCATGGGGTACCCAAAGCAAGGGTGCTTGGCACAGTTTGGGGCATGTGAAGGCCAAGACTGAGTCTAGACCTTGGGTCATGAGAAGGTAGAGGACAGTAAGGCTCCTACCTTTAGCTCCTTGATCTTGGTGGGGGTCCTGATCTCTCCATCCTCTGCCTCTGACCGCCGCCCCCCAGACTCAGCATCCTCTTCCCGCTTGTCACTGTTGGGCCCTACATCATGGTTCTCACTGACCGAGGCTGGGCGGGAGAACTCTGCTGAAGTGGGCAGAGATGGCCAGGTGACCGTGTGAGGCATCTCCCCGTGCACAGACAGAAAGCCAGTCCAGCCACTGCCCAACCACACCTGCAGTGGAACCATATCTTCCACACCTCAAACAGACTGCCTACCCCATCAGATGGTCAGTAAGTAGATGAGAGGCAGAGCTGTCTCCTAGCCCACAGCCCCCCATCTACTTTCTATGGCACTTGAACCTAGGTTCAAATCTTAAATCCAATTCTTCTTGGCTGTGGGACCTTAAGGATTCCTCATCCTTAAGTAATGTCTACTTCAGAAAGCTGAAACAAATGAGCATTCAGGAAGTGTCTGGCACAAAGTGAACCTCCATTGATGCTGGCCCATAAGGTCACGTTTTGGTTGTGATTTTTGGGCAGAATATTCAGGTATCATGAGATAAGCTTTTATTACTGACAGCTAAAGTCCTAAAGATGCAAATGATTTACTTCATAAATTAGTGAGAATTCCCACTCACAGGCATTCTAAAATACTCTTCTTAATGGAAAAGGAGCAGGATTAGAGACTTCACATCAAGCACTGGGCATAACCCAACTATGCCCACAGATTGAGTCCTGGTAGAAAAGAGACTGGAAAACACTAAGTTAAAACAATCAGAGCACACATTACTATCCTGCAGGTTGGCCTCCATTAAAAAGAGAGAAGAATCACTTCTTGGCCTTTTTGCTAAGATCAAGTGTAGTATCTGTTCTTACCAGTTTAATATCTGATACGTCCTCTATCTGAGGACAATATATTAAATGGGTTTTTGGAACGGGGAGATGGAATAGGAGCTTGCTCCCTCCAACTCCACGCATCGACCTGGTATTGCAGTACTTCCAGGAACAGTGCACCCCTCTGGGGGACTTAAAAAAAAAAAAGAGAGAGAATTTCTTTTCTATTCATATATATTTACTTTGCAGAGTACTGATTTGTGTACATCGATTAATTTCATTCATGCAATGGAATTGGTGGCTAGCATGGGAATTATTGCTCCCACTTTACAGAGGATAAATTGAGACCTCAAAAAGGGGAAGGTCCCACAGATGTCCTTTTGGTGCACTGAGACAAGCACTTTACCCTCCTGCTTGAAGTTCAGGCTCCTGCTCCTCCTCTCTGCTTCTCCAGCTCTGGGCTAACCTCTGCTGCCCAGAGGTTAGGTTTCTTTTGAGGGCATGCCCCCAGTGACCTAAAACCTCTTACTAGGCCACTTTCCAATAGTACCATGCTAGGAACTAAACCTTTAACAAATGCAGAGCTAGGTTTCATTTAGCTTTTGGCTTAGGAATGGAAACTTCAGGGGAAGGGCAGAGGGACGGTCTAGACCCTTCTTTCCTTTGCATAAATCATAATATACCATTCTCCTGGTAGGACTCCAACCTGTGCATTGCCTGGGCTTCTTGAGCAGGAGGACAGAGAACCAGGTGGCTGAACCTGGAACTCCACAAGATCACGACTCAGGGAAGCCACAGGGAGTCCCAAGAGCATCAGTGTCACATCGCAGTAGCTGTGGACCATAGGTTGGTGTTGGCCAATTGGAGCTGCTCATGTACAGGGGTGCTCTTGGGCCACTGTGCTTGTGCTTGACATAAATAAACTTGGGAAATGTCTACCGCCGTCACTGCTCATTGTGCAGAACATGGTATGTCCACTCCCCCATTCCCTCTGAAGACCACTTTCCCCCACCTCTGATTTGGGCCATACCTCCATCAAGGCTGCGGGACATGGTGTACCGTTTGCTGGAGGAACGCTCAAAGAAGGGTGCAGGACGGTCAATGAGGGCGCTGGCTTGGCGGGTCTGTGCCTGGGTCCTCCCACTATACCGGAACTTGGAGCCCATCACCAGGAAGCCCTTGGGTGGGGGCTCAGGTGACACCAGCCTGCAATGGAGGGATGGAAGTGAGGAGTGGGGGTCAGACCTGCATCGTCAGGCCAAGGACAGCCCACAGAGAGCCTTTTGTCCCATTGTCCCACAGTGGCAACACTCAAAGTGGCCCAAGAAGAGGAAGACTCAGGGAAAGGAGAGGCTCGCCTGGAGTCCCCACGAATTCCTCCCGCTCCCTACATCCTCATAGCCTCTGCCTCGTCCCCATTACCCCACCCAGGGTCAGCTCACCGAAAGAACGTGTGGTGTTCGATGCAGACTTTCCACAGCCTCTTGGCTGACCGATGGTTTGGGAGCTTGAAGCCAATGGTGCTCTCAAACTGCTCATACTGGAGACCAAGAAAGGGGTTAGTGGCAGGGCCAGAACCACTCTCACCAGCAGCCCATCCTTTCCGTACCTCTTCTCAGCCATGTGCGACTTTGGCCTATTCGTTCATGTAATCAACAGGGTAGATTGAGCCCTGGTTCTGTGACAGGCCCAATGCTAAACACTAGAGACACCATGGGAAACAAACAAGGTTCTAGCAGGCAGGAAGGGGTCCTTAGATAATAAATAAGTAAACAAGATAATTGCAGATACCAGTAAAGGCTATGAAAGGAATAAGAGAGGGATGTGCAGTGCTGAACAGGTATGGGGTCAGGAGCTCTCAGAAAAGATAATGGGGCCACCCTTGAGACAGGTGAGGTTTGAGCTATGATCTGAAGGATGAAGACATGCTATAGTTTGGATCTCAAATGTCCTCCAAAGGTCCATTTGTTAAAGGTTTAGTTCCTAGCATGGTACTATTGGAAAGTGGCCTAGTAAGAGGTTTTAGGTCACTGGGGGCATGCCCTCAAGCAGAAGGTGGGTCCCAGTTACTCTAGTGGTAGAACTCAAATATGTTTTCAATGGGTGAGGCTGGGGTTGATAGAAAATAGGTGTGGACACTCTTGTATGTGCGTACTCTGTGTGTCATCACTCACCTGTGCATGTCTCAGTGTGTATGCATGCAAGAATAGTACACCTAAGCAAACACATGCACACAGACATATATTCATTTCTCTGTGTAACCTGATGACATGTGGTTATCATCCTGTTTTTGCTCAGGTATGTGCATGTATGTGTGTGTTTGCAGGCACACTCAAGGTATGAGGTCTATGTAGAGAATGAAGAAAGAGGGACCTCTATCCTCCCATGAGCCCTAGCAACCCATCTATATACCCTAGATAGGAAAAACCCAGGCCAGCTGCTGGGGGGCCTACTGCATCTTGTCAACGATGGTGACAGGGGCTCTCAGGGCAGGCTTACCTCCCCAGGCCGGATCTTGATATAGAAGTTACTCCTCTTGTAGGAGATCTTGAGAATCTTGGGCCAGGCAAAACGGTTGATTCTCAGCCGGTCCCGGTAGATGAGCAGGCCATTGGCACAGACACCTAGCATGATGTCAATGCCCTCGGAGTCCTGCATGAGAAGAGATACAGAATGAGAAGCCTGCCACCCACCCCCAACCTTCCCTGAGCTCTGTTTGTAATAAGCCCCCATGACTAGGCTCTCCCATGGTCATCTGCTCATTCATTTAAACATCCATTCACCGCTCACTTGTTCCATCACTCTCTGGCAGTCATTTATTTGCGCAGCAAACATTCAGGTATGTACTCAATGCTAGGCTGTGTGCCACATGCTAGGAATACAAGGCCTCAAATATTCCCAATCTAGTGGTGACACAAACAAGTTCATAGGGAAATGGAATACAAAGAGGAAATGACAATGATCAGGGGAAATGAAAGGCTATGAACTTAGATAACGAGAAATGAGAACAGGTAAGGTTCCAAGTTGTAGGAAATAGAGATCCTGGCACACCAAGCCCTCTGGAAGGAATTGACCATTCTCGGGGCACCACCCAGATGCGAGAGGGTGCTGGACTGGTCAGTACCTTGGCATGGTGCAGATCGACTCCATACATGGAGAGCTTCTTGGCGTTCTCCAGGAAGTGAATCTCTGCCTCTCCTGGGGTCATGCCCCTGAGGAAACAATGTGATCACTGGGGTGTGGCAAAGGCTCGGGCTGAGTTCTGTTGTTGCAGGTGGCCACCATCAGAACCCATCCCTTCGGGAAGGTGGGCGGTGGAGCCTAGTCTGAGGCCCTTCCCTCTGCCCTCAAGGCAGGATGGTGAGCCCCCAACCCACTTCAGTCCACCCAACCCCATCTTCTCCATAACTCAGGTTCAGTCCTGTTTTTTCCTGGAAGCAGACAAGGGCTGGGCTGGGAGGTGGGATTTTTGCCTCATTTACTACCAAGTTAAGTGCAAGCCAAATGTCCAACTGCTCCAGGGGAACCAGGAGACCATTGCTGAGGACGCTGGTCATTGTAATCACCCCAGGGCTCCTAATAATCACCCACAGAAGATATTTCCCTCAGAATTTAGTGTCAGAAGCCACTTAATCTCCCTGAGGAACAGGAGCACATTCTCCTTTCTGAAGAGAAGAGTTAGGTTATGAATCAAGGTCCTTCTTTGCATTGGCTGTCAGGACACACACTACATTTGACCCTTCTTTACAGCAAGCATTTATCAGGGACTATGTGCCTGTGTCTGTTCCAGGCGCTAGACATACATGAACTCTAACTCCTCATCACAACTCTATAAAGATAGGTGTTATCATGATTCCCATCCTTCAGATGAGGAAGCTGGCAGAGAGAGGATGAGTAACTTGCCTAAGGCACATTGCTATTAAGAATCAGGATTTGACTCCAGACAATGTGGCTCCAGAGTTTGTGCTTCTAACCCCTTCATTACCTCTGTCTCTCACATCCTCTGGGCTGCTCTGTGGGATACATGGACACTAGATGTCAATGTACATTAAGTCCAAAGAACTATAGGAATAGCTGTTAGCATTTCTCAAGCTCCTATTGATCTGAATGTCCTTCTCTGAATTACTGGACTCTTGCAAATCCCCAAGGTACCTTGCTATCTAGGATGTGGATGACAGATAGTTAGCAAGCAGGCCACCCTGGTCCTATGCCCACATGTCACAGCTAGGCAGCTGTAGTCTGCTCAACACAATATCACAGCAGAGTTGGTATGCAAGCCTCTGAGAGAAAGCATTTGCTGCCCTTGACCTAGCATTCATCACACCCAGCAGGCTTTTCCCTAAGTCCATGATCCCTCCACACCTGGCCCTAGCCCTCCTCTCCAGGTATAGCCCACAGCACACAACCCTTCATCCCAGATAGTAATGAAATCATGTTGCCATATTCCAACCCACAGGCCTGGTGCTTTGCCACATCATTTATCATATAGGGTTCCCCAAATAACCTTGAACTTGGACCCCAAAGCATTTCATGGACACTAGATGTCAATGTGTGTTAAGAGGACCCTAGAGATCCCCCAGGGGATAGTAATCCTGCAGAGCAGGCATTTTGGTTGTTACAGTAACTAAAGGGAGCTATGGGAATTTAATGCCTGAAACCAGGAATGGTAACCAGCCTACTAAATGAATTCCCCGCCCCAAATGCCAACAGTGGAGAAACACTGACCACCAAAGTCGTGCATTCATGGGTGAAAATGGGGCTTACCGAGGTCAAATAACCAGCCTAGAATCATGATTTGATTAACTGTCTCTAACCCAGAACAAGATGCGCAGATAGCAACACTAACAGCCAACATGCAGTGTGTCTTCAATATGTTCCCTGTGATCTTCCAACAACCCTACAGTGTGGGGTTATCACTCAACATTGAACAGATGAGCTCACCAAAGCATGGGGAAATAAAATGACCTGCCAAGACCCCCTGGTTAGAAAGTGGCAAAGCCAGATGGCAAACCCAAACAGGCTGGTGTTCAAAGCCAAACCTTTGAAGTTTATGCCAAGATCTAGACATCAGGACACTTACCTAGAGGCATACAGCAGTTATCATTACCTCCAGATGGCAGATAAAGAAACTGGTCCTCAGAGGCCAAGACAGAATTATTACACCCATACAGCAGCTTAAGAAACTGAGGCGCCAAGAGGTCACTTACAGTCGTGCAGCTAGTCCCTGTAATTCTTATCTGATGGTGAAGATCTGTTCCCAGACACCTCAGTTTAGGGGTAGAGGCAGTTGGCGTTTATACAGCACATCTGGGGCCTAAGACCTTCAGGCCTGCAAGGAGGACTCCGGCCAACTGGCCAATGGGCCTGCTCACCTGTACGTCTTGTGCAGCTCTGTGATCCTCTCCTCCAACTCCCGGGTCTGGTTAGGGGCGAAGCGGAGCTCACTGACGTAGTTGCCCACGTGCTCCTCGGCATCGTAGTCGCCCAGCTCAGCCTGCACAGCGTAGGAGCCCAGCAGGGCATGTGTGACAAAGGAGCATGGCAGCCGGCCTGTGATGATGTCTGCCCGCAGCTGCAGGCACAGGTAGTACCTAGAGGAAGGGGAGAGAGGGCATGGGCACAGGCCTATGCCTCCAGATCCCCCACGCCTGGCTGTGCAATTGGAACTACACAGATCCACACAACTCAGTGGGAAAGGATACCACTAGACACTGGCATTTTACAGGTTGATAATTTGAGTGTTTCCTATGAGACAGTTTGGAGACGTTTCACATGACTTTTGACATTTTTGTTCATTTCTAAATTTTAGGTATTTTTTTTCTGCTATGAGAGCTTTTGTAATTTCTAATTCATTTTGTAATTTCTAATTCATTTTCAAGCTCAATAGGACTACTTTCACACCTGTAATCCTAGCTACTCAGGAGGCAGAGATCAGGAGGATCTCAGTTTGAAGCCAACCCAGGCAAATAGTTCGTGAGACCTTATCTTGAAAAAAACTTCACGAAAAGGACTGGTGGAATGGCTCAAGGTGAAGGCCCTGAGTTCAAGCCCCAGTACCACACCCACACAAAAAAGTCATGTATGGACTGGAAGTGTGGCTCAAATGGTAGCGCACCTCCCTAGCAAGCATGTAATTTTAATTATGCAATTTATATTTTGGTCTGGGGATTGAACCTAGAGCCTTGAGTTTGCAAGTGCTCTACCTCTTGAGTTATGCTCCCAGCCCATCTATTTTTTCACTTTTTGTTTTCGCGATAGGGTGCTTAGGCTGGCTACAAACTCATGATCCTCCTGCCTCCACTTCCCAAGTGACTGGGATTACAGATGTGTACCACCACACCCAGCCAGTATATTCTTATATGGAAAGAATGAATTTCTTCTTGATGCCCATTCATATTCCTAAGACCCTCCCCAAGGTCACCAATTATCTGTATGGTGTTCTAGATATTTTTCCTTCATGGACAAACACAAATGCATGCCCTGTCACACCTAATGTGCCTTAGCATTGCTCCCATGTCAGCACAGTGTAACTTGGCCTCATTCATCACTCTTCTGTACCATATTCCACAGCCTGATGGCCTTGTTTGTCAATGACTTCCTGAAACTTTTTATTTTGCCCCAGCTCTAAGTGAATTGTCTAAGAAACAAATTGGTTTCAAGAAACATTCCCAACCACCAGGCCATGATTTTTTATAATTTTGTGCATAGGTGGATGATTTTACAATTTTTAGAACCATTTAAAACCATTGTTTTTGCTTTATCGGTAATGTGTATTTTTTTAAAAAATCACAAAAACAAAAAACAATGTTTCAGTTTGCTTTCATCCAGTGATGCCTCCTTGCCCAGTTTTGCTGTTTCACCATTTTTCCACAGTTGCCCATTTCTCTTCCTTTAAAGGGGCTTTCACTTAGTGTAATGTTGAGTGTTTCAATGAGAACTGAAGCCCTGCAGAAAGCACCTGCAGCCTCACGGTGTACACAGCACAGGCTCAGCATTGGCAGCAGCTTAGATATCACAGACATCCAGCAAGGGCCTGTGGCATTTTGTTCAAAAGTCTAAAAATTCAGAAATCACTGCCAAATGCTCTGACCAATCTTTCATTTCAATCAATTTGTCATTTTGACCAGTTTATTTTGGGCCTCACTATTTTTGACTTAATCAGCTGCTCCTACCACCCTACCTCTTGGGCCCATCTGTGCTAGGCAGGGCTAACTTCCCTCCTGATGTCCCTGGAAGTCTGATGCCCAGAGTCTGGCACAAAGAGAAGAGACCTAAGGATGGGGGCTGTGCTAGCCTAAAGATCTGGCTGCAGCCACTTGAGTCCCAAGATGACCTCAGGACTCAGAGTGGGACTAATGAGGCCAAGACCTGGGCATGATCTATTTCGGGAATGTCTGTCTTATCTCCCAAGGCCAGAGTGGGAACCTTGACATTGGTCTGCTGCTCAGCAAACAAGTAGCAGGCATTAAGAAGGGAACTGATGGCCGAAAGTGTGGCTTAGCAGCCCCTCATACTGCAGAAGAACTTATTTTTGGGACGTCAGGCCCACCCATAGATAATACTGCCTTGGATATCCTGCAGTGAGGGCTTAGCTACAGAGAGAGGGCTCTCCCTGCTCTGCTTTCCCGAGGTGGGATGAGCTCAGGGAAGCTCTCTCCTGAAGGAGGCTCTGCACCCCTTGCAACCTTCAGGCTACCTTGTCCTCTGGCCCTGAAGCATGAGACTGCACTTGCCATCCATGTTCACCCCAGCAGCCCAGGCAGTGTCCACAGGGATCACGAGCCTCATTTGATCCCCACAAGCCTGACGTGCACACGGGGCATGCCCAGCCAGACTCCCACATGCAGAGCATGGGCACTTTACTCCCTTCCCTCCTTACCCACAGTACTGCAAACCCATGTCCACCCAACACATGTGTGCTGGGTTTGTCCCACTCAGAGATGGCCCATGCCAGGTTTATAAAAAGTCTGCACTAGTGGCCAACTTTTAAAACTTGTGGTTTTTACTTTGAAATCTCCAGCTTCACTTCAACAATCAGACCCAATTCCCACAGGGCAATGTTTGCCTAGAGCTAAACAACCATTTTAGATGGTGTCTCCTCTTAAATGTACACGGGGTCCATGGCCCCTGTGACACCTTCCTCCTCTGAGGTTAAGGGTCAGGTGCCACTGACCACTACATTTGTGCCCGTTTATTTTCTTTTCTCATTTATTTTTCCTTCCTCCCTCCCTCCCTTCCTTCCTTCTCTGTAGCCCCAACCTGGCCCCTTAAACTAGCCCAGGCTGGCCTTGAACTCAAAATTCTCCTGCCTCAACCACCTTAGTACTGGGATTATATGTGTGCACTGCAATTCTCAGCTGAATCCCTGTTTTTCTTGCACTGTCTGCTTCCTTTGCCAATGGTCTGACCATCCTCAGCCTGTGTTTCCCAGGGCCAGGTACCCTCATCCATAGTCCCAGAGGGCCACCATGCCTGGCATTCCCTTCACAGCTCTCACCTTGTGATGTCTTCTGTCAGCTGGGCTGGGTCAGGAGGATAGAACTTGACTGTAAAGGCAAAATTCCAGGGGCTGCCTGAGAGGAGAAGATGGGGAGAGATCAGAGAGCTCCCATCAATCCAGTGGGTGGTCCAAAAACACCAGCCTACAGGCAAATTTTCCAAGTCTTCTCCTGTTGCTAATCTTAGAACAATCTAACTGAGGAGCCTGGAACATTATTCCCATTTGACAGATGAGGAAACTGAGGCCCAGGTTAAAAGACTTGTGAGCTGGCAGTGGGAAGGAAGGTAGAAAGAAAAAAACTAGTGCTGTGTGCCAGGCACACATAGTGTATTTTATGGCTTCATAAAACCTCCCTTCATTACACCTTGCAACAACCCCATGAGGAAGCCTGTGATTAGCCCCACTCTGCAGGTGAGGGCACTGAGGCCCAGGCAATAAGGTGGCCAGCTTTCTGTACAGGTAGACGAATTTAATCTTCATAGTCACCCTGAAAGTGAGTTTTCTTCTTTTTTGAACTTAGGGTCTTGCACTTGTTAGGCAGGCACTCTACTACTTAAGCCACACCCACAAGCCCTGAGTTTCTTAGATTGATTGCAGGGCAGGGGATCAAACCCAGGGTCTTGTGTATGCTAGGTGAGTGCTCTACCACTGAGTTTCCCTTTTTGTAGATAAAGATTCTAAGAAGTTAAGTCACTTTCCCAGGGTCACTCAGCTAATTAGTGGCAGAGAACAGGATGCAAACTCTGGTCATCTGACCCCAGAGCCCAGGCTCCTGACCACAAGAACTCTGGAAAAAGCAGTTTCGAGAGGGCACAAGTGCTGTCTCATGAAGAACAATTGCAATAATTACTAAATAACAATTACAGCCAGTCCCCACTGGGAGAATGGTTCAGGCACTGTTGTAGGTGTCACACATGAGACAACTCATTTCATCCTCACAACAATTCTAATGCTGTGCGCTGTGTCATGAGCCCACTTTACAGGGGCATAGCACAGTTAACCTAAGAAGTAGTGATGGAGCCAGGATTCAAATCCCGGAAGTCTGGCCCCAGTGTCTGTCCTCAGGGAAGCCAGAAGAAAATTGCCACTGCCACTACTCTGTGCTGGGCATTGTGAATGCACTTGTCATTCCACCACCACCCCAGCTCATGAGGCAGATGGCTAGTCTACTAGTCAAGTCAAAGTAGGGGACTGGATGACCTGTCACAGTTGCTCTCGGTGATGGACCCTGAGGCTTAGGAGGAGATACACCCATGTCTGAAGCCCAGGATACCAGAACTCAGGAAGCCACCTTCAGAAGGCCTAGGGGTCATCATAAACAACAGAAAGGAGGGGAGGCAAAATTGCTCCCCTGGGGTCCCAAAGAACAGGACAAAGATGAATGCCTGGAAGTTTCCAGGGCAGGGACAGAGGCTGGGGCTCTACTGAAGGAGGCACTTGGTAAGAATTAAAACTATGCCTCAATGGCTTAAGGTGCCATAAGGAGCGACGATCCACATGCCAGGCCCCACTGGCAGGGACTACAGGCATGCTCTGGGGAGCAACACTGGGGCCAGGGTATTCAGCCTGGCTGCCTCTTTTCCAGCCTCCTGGTCTTTACTAAACACTGCACACTTGGCGCTGTTCCCTTCCCTCAGGCATGAGAGGTAGCCCTCCCAGGTGGGCTGGCACTGCTAGAGGATAGCCTGCAGCCCAGACCTAGGACCCTCCCAGCCCCAGAGGAGTGTGCTCTGCCTGCATTCTTGCCTCTTTGTCTCCAACTGACAGGAACCTACAGGAAGAACTCCTCAAGCCCCCTCCTGCAGAGTCAGCTGGCATCCCTGGGCCCAGCTGCTTGCTGTCATGGCAACAGGCTCAGCTACAGCTTTCCAAAGGACCAGGGAGTCCAACCCTAGAGAGACCAAGCACAGGCAGAGGGAGGGGTATCTCTTGGGTGGAGGTATTTCTGCCTCCAGACCTCAGGTCTCTACCTACTGCAGAGCCCCCTTGCAAAGGCCACAGACCTCCCCCTTCTGCCATTTGAAAGCTGCCTCACCTCTCCCAACGGGCCTTTTTTCTCTGGGTCAAAAAGGATAGGTTGTCAGCCTGCTCATTTGCCTTCTCCCAGGCTTTGAAAAGAGGGCAAGATGGAAGGCCAGGGCCCAAGACTGGCTTGGCCAATACTTGGCTCTGTGGTCTTGTGTAAGTAACTGTCTCTCTCTGGGTCTCTGAGGAAAGGGTCGTTGGTTACTGCCCCTGCCCTGGACAGCAGGGTGGCTGTTTCCAGGACATCTATTTGTCTCCTTGTCCTGAATGACTTTACCGGTCCCTTCTGGGACTGACATCCTGAATACATTTTCTGTTACTCCACTAACTTGCAGTGTGACTCTGCCATAGCAGTTCTGTTCTCTGGGCCTCAGACTTGTCATCTATAAAACAATGTTAACATCATTCCTGCCCTGCCTTCACCAAAACCTGCCAGGTGATGCCAATGGGCTCACACATTCAGATGTGTGTGTCCCCCGGGTCCTGCCCACCCCCCACAGTGCCCCTAACCACAGCACACCACTCACTCCGGATCTGCTTCTTGATTTCCTTGGAGGGGTCCAGCCAGTTCTGAAAGAGAAGCAGAGTTATCTATAAGGGAAGTAGAGAAGCGGTCTGATGGCTGGGAGAGAGAAATACCCTGAAACGGCTAGTAGAAAGCCCTTCTCTGAAGTCTTTTCCTTGAGACTGGGAGATGGGGTCTGGATTCCCACCAGGGTTGGGACCCAGTGCCCTGGGGCTGGCACTACCTGGGGCAGCCACAGTGACCAGGTATTGCAGCAATATCAGGAAGGAGTTAAGTCATCCAGGAGCCCCGTGAACGCCCCTCACTTCTCCCAGGCAACTCACACAGTCACACTTAGGACTCTCTATATACTTATCTAGGGGTGACTTACAAAGGACTTAGGTGGATACAGAGAACTGAGGATGGTTAGGGGGATGTCCTTGAGGACATGCAAGCAGAAGAGGCCTAATGAGAATGTGGTGGAAGCCAGGGGTTATGACCAGAGCCTAAGGGAAGAGCCCTTCCCTACACCCACTCCCCGACAGCAGGCCCCAAGCCTACCTTCTGGTACCTACCTTCTGGCTGTCTGCATCACAGAAAGTCAGGCCAAAGTAGTCCTTCTCCAGGAGGTTGAGGTGCTCACAGACCAGGTCGAACAGCACCTGGCCGCGGCCATGCTTCTGAGGACAGAACAGAGCCTCTGTGAGGCTGCACACACCTTAGGCTGGGACCAGGAGCTGCCCTGGGCTCTACTAGGACAACCAGACAGCCTCCAAGTGCTTCCCAGGATCTAGACGGGACCTTAGCACTCAGGCCATCTGGTTTTATTCTCTGAGTCCTAAGGGGCCTTGAAGTGACAAGGCCCAGCACATCCAGGCTTCTTCTAAGCCCATGGACTTACTTGGGGATGAGTTGGGGTGGGAATATGGGGAGTGAATGATTTCTCCTTCTTTACAGCAATCAAGAGAAGGAGCAGAGAACCAAAGTCCTAAGCTTTGGGGATGACAGGAAGAGAAGAACCCCTTGAAAAATAAGAGATACGGGCAGGAGAGCAGGGAGGGGCCTGGGACTCAGGGTCATAGCACGACTGTCTTTTCTTGGCCAATCCCTTCATACTAAATCTAAGTGAAATCAAGAGCAGCCCAACCCTGACTTGGGCAGCAAGTGAGGTGGTAGAAAGGCTCATGTGGCCTGAGTCAGCCTCTACTGGGAGCAGCGTGGTCAGAGTCACCTTCCCACAGCTCCCAGGCAGCAAAGCATGGGACTGCTCTGAACCACTGTCCCAGCCCAAGGATTCAGCATGACAAAGCTCAGGACCTGGCTGGGTACCCTAAACCCACAGGTGTGAGGGATCCAGGGCCAGGGAACAGGAGGCAATCACCACTCAGAGGTAGGGGACTCCAGAGAGTGAGGTCCCTATAGACTCTGGCTAGGTCCCTGGGGACCAGGACTAGGCCTGATAAGGAATTCTTGAAGCATGGAGGTATCTGTACAAGGGAGCAAGTCTGCCCTGGACTAAAACCTCTGTGTGCTTCTGGGCTAGGTGGAAGCATACCTTGGGACCATGGGATAGGAAAGAAGAGGTAAGAGACAGCCCTTCTCTTTGCCCAGGAACAAGAAAGGTGCTTGTCCTGAAACCCTTCTACAGAAGTACACACAAAAACAAAACCAAACTCTGGAGAGGAGGGACCAAGCCTGCAGGGTTCAGAAGTCACATCCATTTACGGGGAAGAAGTGGAGGCACTCCTAAAAAGCTCAGTAGTGAGACCACTCTCTGAACTCTTCTGAGCACATGGAGAAGTGGTGGGTACAGTGCCTGAAGTGGAGCAGAACCCCTAGGGAGGAAGGGCTGGGACAGTGGGCAGGTGAGTACTAATGACAAGGGTGAGTCAGAGCCTGGATAGGAGACACTGATGTCAGAGAGGAGGTATCTTCTGTGCCACTGAGATGGCACAGGGCCATGTCACAGGTGCTTCTACATTGATGAGCTCATCCTTCCAATGGGCCACTTCCCTATGCCCAGGTGACACACAGAACCCTCAGGTGACTTGTTTGTCCTGGACACTAGAGGTGGTGGTCTGGATGGGGGTATTCACAAAGAGGGAGGATCTCTTTCACTACCTAACAATAAAAAAAAAAAAAAAAAGATTCTGGTTTAAAGATTCTCTCTGCTGGGTGAGATAGAAGAACTGGGTTCTAGGCCCACTGAGCTGGAGGTCAGCCCTGGATGGTGGTAATCCTCCCTGAGAAGCCTTTTCCTTATGCCAGCCCTGTGCCAAGTCTAATTCTGCTTGCAATTGTAATGGCCCTCGGGCCTTGGTGCCACCATCTGTACAAAGGAAGGTTGGGCCAAGTCATCTCTCTGGATACTGTAGTCGGTCCAGGACTCCTCTGGTTTGGCTCAGGCTGAGGACACACAGGAGCCTGCCCTGACTGAAGCCAGCCGGCTGGGGATGGGGCACATGGCACTGGCTGTTCCCTACCTCCACCTCACACTCGTACTCAGAGGCATCAAGCAGAGTGACTCGGCAAGTGGCACTCTTGGACTTCTTGGCGATCTTCTGGGGTGATTTCTGGGCCTTGCTGGGCGTGGTCCTCTCTGACAGGCCATCGGCCTCACTATAGTCCTTCTCCTCCATGTCTAGGCTCTGTGGGTTCAACCAAAGGAAGGTTTGGTGAGTAAGCTTGAAGCCACAGCCTTTCACACAAATGAGAAGCAACTGGAGCAGCTGGGGCAGGGACAGACACTAAAATGAGAGTCACTGCCCTCTAAGACCCATAGAGTGAGCAGGGGCTATGGTTGATGGGAACAGGTGGAGAGTTCCATCTCTTTCCTGCAGGCTTCTGCTGCCACAAGCAGTCTGTATAGGCAGGAGCATCCCACAGAACCAAACCTGTGACTAAAGCTGTCCTGTCTCCCTAGAACTATGCATGAGTGAGCAGGACATTCCTCTAGGCACCTCTGTCTTGTCTGTCATGGGGTCTAGCATTATGCTGGGAGCTGTGCACAGGTCTCATGGAGGGAAGGGCCAGACCTCTGACCTGACTCTTTCCATGGACATGGCCAAGTCCCTGCCCTCTCTGGGCCTGCTGTGAATTAAGGGAGATGTGAACTTGAGAACTACATGATTCCTTGAGTCCCTTGTAGTTTTGGGGTGATGAGTTTTGCTCTAGGATCACACTGGGCTTGTCAAGCTCAAATGAAAAAGCTCAAAGGTAGGAAAATAAAGGTCAAAGGATCTTTTTAGGAATTGGTTCTAGGTCTAACTTCCACTTCTGTCACTTTAGGGCAGTGTGACTTTGGGTAACTCGCTTCATCCCACTGAGCCACAGTTTCTCCAAGTATAAAATGGGAAAATTAACACTACCCCTGAGGTTTGGAAGAATTAAATATAAAAATGGTCACAATGTCACCCCAGCACATTGCTCAGCATGTAATGGTCAGGAATAAATCCTAGTTTCCTTCTTTCTTGCTTGCTGAGAAAATCCTGGGGCCCTAAGAACTGGACCTGGAGGACTGGTTGGGCAGGAAGAGGGCTTCCCAGGCCCTCAAATACACACCTGTTCAGCAGGCCGAGTGTCCTGCTGGGGCGGATGCTTCTCATTGGAGTTGGCCTCTTGGTGGCTGTGGCCTGAGGGAGTCACAGGGGTGGTCACAGCTGCAGCAGCCTCAGGCTGCTGTGGGACCTCCTCCTGAGCCTTCTTCACCTCAGAATCGGGGCCTGTCTCTGTTGTCATGGTGACCAGCACGCCTGCATTGGCATGAAGGAAAGCATGTGAAGGGGAGAGGGCCAGCAATAGTGTGACAGAGCGAGGGAGCAGGAACCACATGTGGAGAGAGAGACAGATGGAGACAAATGGACAAAGAGCCAGAGAGAAGAAAGGAGGAAGGGAAGGACAGAGGAAATGGGAAGGGGGAGACATGAGAAATGAGGGGTTAGTGGCAGCTGAGGTCATAGGCCCCTCTCCCCAACCTTTACCACAGTTCCTCAGGGACCCCAATCTCTTGGCCAGACCTGGAATCTGGGCCCTCTCTAGGGATGACAAAGGCCTCGCCAGGGACTCCCCACTCTGCACAGGGAACAATGGCCATCTCCAGGCAGGACCCTAGCCAGGCTATTTCTCCAACCACAGTCCCTGATACTCAGTAGCCCCTCAGTAAATACTGGATGTGCTGAACAGACAACCCTGGGTTTCAGGCCCTTCGGGCGCTGGATTTAGGCAAGCTGCTTTCATGTCCCAAGCTGCAATAACTCCTGCGCACCTACCCCAGCCCCGGCCTCACATGGATGCTGCAGGGAAGGGTCCACAGGGGGTAACACTTGTAAAAACCATACCACCTGCCCAGAAATTCAGGGAACAGGGCTCAGGCTCCCCCAAGAGTGGCAGTCACCTCACCTCTCTGGGACTCATCCACAAAGTGAGGAACTTAGGAGAATTATCTCTGGGAAAAGCTATTCTTAGCATTTTCCTCTTAGAGTATTAAATGAGGAGATTCCAGAGAGAATCAAGGACCCACTCTCCAGCTATTCTGTCTGACTTCGCCAATTGCTGAGTGAGAGAGTGAGAGAGAGAGAGAGAGAGAGAGAGAGAGAGAGAGAGAGAGAGAGAGAGAAACGGCAAGATTCCATTTTTTTAAAGTCATCATTATTATTATTGGTGACACTGGGGTTTGAACTCAGGGCGTCACACTGGCAAAGCAGGCACTCAACTGTTTGAGCTACATCTCCAGTCCATTTTGCTCTATCTATTTTGGAGATGGGGGTCTTGCAAACTATTTGTCTAGGGCTGCCTTGAACTGCAATCCTCCCGATCTGAGTCTTCCAAGTAGGACTACAAATGTGAGCCACTAGCACCTGGCACCATCCATTTTTATGTTTAAAAAACAAATCAAGACCCTCAGCATATCTTTGTTTTACACATTTATTTAGCAAAAGATCTGAAAGGATCCTTGCCACACTTAAGAGAAGTTAAAGGAAAAGGGAAAGAGACCTATAGGAATGAGGTAGAATAAAAGAGGAAGTTTCATTTTTTACTTTATACACTTTAGGATTATTTGTCTTTTTAATATATATAGATATAGATATAAATATATAGATATGAATATTAACCCAAACTTCCATTTGGTTTGGTTTAACTTTAAGGACAAAAGCACCCATTCCTGGCCCCAAACAGCAGATCCTCAAAATAAATTAAAAAAAAAAAAAGTTGAGGCTGGAAGCACGGCTCAAGTGGTAGAATGCCTACCTAGCATGCATGAGGCCCTGAGTTCAACCCTTACTACCAAAAATAAATAAGTTAATTTTTGTAAAGGTAGGAGCTAACCAGGGGATCAGAGGAATGGGCAGGAACCCTCACCCCTAATTCCAGACCCTGCCACTAAGTCCATCATATTACTGTACATGAGAAAGATCCAGACTAGATCTGGGGGAGACTCTTCCCCACCTTCACTACCATGGGAGGCCTCTGACAGCCAGCCAGACACTGGATCCCCAATGCTTCAGGCCCCACACTTTTAGTTATTGTCGCTGTTGCTGGAGATTGAACCAGGGCCTTGTGCATGCTAGACAAGCACTCTACCACTTTTCATTCCTTCCCTAATTTTTCTCTCTCTGCATTCCTATGGGCACCCACCTGGCCCAAAGCAAAGGACAGAAAGTCAGAGACCCTGAGGGCCCCACCCAGTCAGAGGAGAGATTCAGGGTCCTGCAGAAGTCATGGGCATCCTCAACTCCACAGAGTAGAGGAGGAGTGGAAGACTTTGTGAACTGAAGCTCCTAGCCCAAATGAGAGTGTGTGTTGTTACTGATGCTGCTGTTAAGAAGTAAGGTGAGGAGGAAGGAAAGGCCTTGGTAACATCAACTCATCCCCACCCACAGAGGCTTTCCCCTCAAGTCGTAACCCCAGGCTTCAGGGGTACAACTTGCAGTCACAGCTACAGAAAGTTTCTCCATCCCTCTTGGCTAGGGCACAAAGCAACCTAAGCTGCTCTGGGGAAGCTCACAGCCTAGGAAGGGGCAAACCAAGACCTGTCTACTGTGTTTGGAATCTTTCCTAGGCCTGTGCATAGAGACATCATCATCATGTTAGATAAGGGTAAATAGGCACAAACACTTAAATGCCTACTCAATTTTGCTTTAAAAGAAGAAGAAGGCTCCACAGACTGATGTGTATGTTTTCTGCTGTGAGAAGGAAATCCACAGGGCCCTTGTGACCAGGCAGCCAATGGGTACATCCATTCCTCCCCTTAGGGTGGACTTGGTCTGGCTTCAGCCCAGACTCTTAGAACTTTCCCCCAGCCTGACATAGCCAGGAAAGCAATCTTAAATAAATATCCCAGTCTTCCCTGCATGAGTCTCCAGCAGATACAGATGGCAGCCAGTGCCACAGATAAGAGAAGCTGGATGTCTTTTGAGATAATTAAATATACTCCCCTTCTTTTACAGGTTAGACCAGAAAGCAAGAGACAAGTGACAGTCACTTCCTCAGACAGGGTTCCTCCACCCACTCTCCTCCCTATCAGCCACCTGACTCCCCAGATCTTAATGCCAGGTCCATTTTCTGTCCCTTTCACTTAGTTGCCTCCAACGAACCCCAACAGAATCACTTTGAAGGAGAAGTGCTTAGGCCCAGACTGAATGCTGAGAAGGTGCAGGAACCACTGCTGAAACCCGTGGTCAGGGGCAGGTTGGAGAGATGGTAATCCATCCTCTTTGAGAGTAAAAGAAAAGGGGATATAAAAATCAGGGGAAGTATTTGAGTGAAAATGCATGGGACATGGCAGTACATTCAGATTGACCCACTATAATTAATACACACAGATCTAGATGGTCGCCAATTTACGATGTTTAAACTTGTAATTTCTCAACATTATGACAGTAGGAAAGCACACCCATACAACCGTCTGTCTCTCACATTCAGTACAGCAGTCAGTAAATTACGTGAGATAGCCAAACCTGATTATAAACTAGGCTTGGTGTGGGTGATTTTCCAAACTGTAGGCTGAGCTGTGATGTTTGGTAGCTGAAGTATATTACTTGCATTTTTCAATGTATGATATTTTCAACTTACAGTGGGTTTATCAGGGCGTAACCTCATGGAAAATTAAGGAGTATCTCTACAGAAAATTTAGCAAAGTATTAGCTATGGTTATTTCTGAGTGGCACATGTAGACTGTTTTCTTCTTTCTATTTAACTGTAGTTCTTTGAATGATTTATAAATTAACTAATTACTTTATTATTTTGGGACAGAGGTCTACTATGTTTTTCAGACTAGACTTATCTCAAACTTCTGGGCTCAAGTGATCCTCCTGCCTCAATCTTCCAACCAGCTGGGACTACAGGGACACACCACTGTGCCCAGCTCTTTAAAAAATTGCTTTAAAAACTAGAGGTTAGAAAAAAATTGTCTGATGTACATGGCTTGGTATGATTTTCTTTTTGAAAATTTATGAAATAAAAAGAAAAATAACATTAATTTTAAATATGAGGAAGTCTTCTTTTCTTTGACAAGTCCAAAGATAACACCATGGTCTCTCAGCAATCTACAGAAAGAGAGCCAGGAACCCAGCCTTGGCTTCTGACACAGCCAGGATGGTGGGCACACAGCCCTGCCCAGGCCCAGGTCAGCACAGACTGAGGAAGCCTGCTGGATAGCTAGGCCAAGCTGGGCCAGGTACTATAGGAGACTCTGGGGGAAGCACGTGCAGGTCCCCATGGAGCTCAGTGCAACAGGAAGATGTGGCTCTCCCAGGAGACAGCTGCATGGGACTTAGATCTGCCAGTGTTTGTCTCTCAGAAGAGTCTGGGGATCTGGTAATCAGAATGTGGCCTCAGCTCCCCCCAAAAAACTTCCAGGGTAGAGGGCAGAGACGGAGTTAGGAGCCTTTAGATAGGAGATGGCAGAGAGGGAAATGGCAGGGAGGGCATTTGGGCTATATCACTATGTGGGCAAAGGCCCAGGTAGGATCAAGGGAATGTGGAGGGGAAGAGAGGAGACCCTGACTTTTTTTTTTTTTTTTTTTTTGGTGGTATGGGGTTTTAAACTCAGGGCCTTATTCTTGCTAGGCAGGTGCTCTACAATTTGACCCATTCCTCCAGCCCTTTTTTGTGTTGGGTATTTTTTGAGATAGATATTTACCCAGGCTGGCCTCGAACAGCAATCCTCCTAATCTCTGCCTACTGAGTTGCTAGGATTACAGGTATGAGCAAGTGGCACCTGATGACCTTGATGTTCTGACACTTCAAGAAACCTGTGAAGGGGGTGCTCCAGACAGCCTGGCAAGAGGGACAAGCTACATCTAGGGAGAAGAACAGGAGCTGGAGTAGCGAAGACAGCCTTGCAAGAGTCAGAAGTGTCACTGACTGCCAAAGAGGGACAAGACTCTGACCACCTGTCCATAGCACTGCTATGGCCAGGCCTAGGTCAGAGACGTCACCCAGCCATTCATGAACCCCTTGCAAAACAGCAGGGCGGGGGCCCTGCTTTTCAGTGGCCAAGAGCACAGGCTTTGTTATCAAGCACATGCCATCCTGAAGCCCAGCTCCAACACTTGCTTACTCTGTGACCTCGGGCAAAGGACTTCCCTTTTGTATAAAACAGATACTCCTTCCTTCCTCTCAGCGTGGTGATAGAAACTAGAAAATAACACAGACAGAGCACTTAGCAGGTCCCAATAAAGCAAGCCCGAGAGTAGGTCTATGACCACATGCAGTAATGGGAAGCCACAGCGAGGACTGTCCTGTGAACAGG